ACAGTCACGATAATAGGTCGTCAACGTTTTGATTGGTGCCACCAATAAGAGGCAAAATTTGTATTGTTTAGGTTTGCTTGCATTGCGTGCAGTGCGTTTATTTCCGTAAATTCAGTATATTAAATGCGCTCTTTCCATATTTTGATGAGGTAAGGATCGAAAATTACTATCTGTATCAGAATTCGGTGAGACATTTTACAAAGAGCAATAATTATATGGTTAAATACCTAGGTGCTTTTTTAACCTACTTTGAATCTAATTTGGCGAGATATTTTACGAAAAGTAATAATTATTCGGTTAAATACCTAGGTGCTTTTTTAACCTACTTTGAATCTCGTTGTTAAAAGATTGGTTAAAGATGCAATTATCGATTGAAGAGTTCAAGAATTCTTCGTAAATATACAAACAACATTTTCATATTATTATGGCTCTTATAAAAACATTAGATTCAATGTTTTACTAGGATAGATACAGCCTTCATTAGTACTTAAGTAACTGGTTTAAATTTAAATGAAGTGTATGTTTTTAGAGACAAGTTTTAAAGCAAGACTGTTGATGAAACGGTTTTCAAAGGATCCCCATTGGAGAAAGCAGTGGGCAGCAAAAATGAAAAGGAGAAAATGACAACCAACTTTATGTGAGGTAAGACTCTCCAGTATAGCTTTGAATTTTGAATAATATACCTATTTAGTTTAAATTAAGGACAAAATAGAATATACCATTGAATTGATGAAAATTATTGAATCAGAATCACTACCTACATTGTTCCTCAAATTTTTGATTTAGTTTTAGATTCACTTTGCTCCATAAAACTGGTTAAATGTGAGAGAAGATGGTAGTAGGAAATTGAAGAACAATTTTCTCTTTCACTAAAGCCAACCCTAAGAGAAAGCCCCCGACACAAAGAGGAGTTCCTGCAAGTGTCTCACATGTTGTTGTGGATAACGGAGACGAAATTGTTGTTCGTACTCCTACAAAAAAATAGAAGTGGCACTTCCAATTGAATCACACTCTTTTGACTCCAAAGTGAAGTGTATGTTATGATGCTGATATAGTATGTCTAAATCCCAAATATCCTTTAATATATTAGACAGTGTTATGGGTAGTTCTTTTAAAAAGAACTCAAGTGATGAAATTATTATGTCAGGATCTTCTGTGATATGGAAAGCATGTTTAGAAAATAATTTGACAAAAAATATTAATTTGAAAGATTTTTTTTTGTTAACAACAGAAACATGTTAATTTGCCCAATAAATATGCAAGTAAGTCATTAAGATAAAAGGTGTAACTAATAAATATTTATTTTATCACACTTAGTCTTTGTTCTGAAACCAGTTTCCAAATATGCAGATTATTGCAGTAGCGTTTCTGAATTGCCTTTGTTTTTATTTTTAAAGAAATATATTATCTACTGGCTTTATTCCTTAATAAAAAAGCAGAGCACTATTCCTGTATAACCTGAATTCTCTTCTCCATTCAAAAGCAAAAATCTGTAACGATAAAAATACCCATGAAAAAGAAAAACTAAAAAGTAACTCTTAGACACATTTTGTAGAGTTTAAAAAACCCTCTTGCAGTAAACACACAACTTTTGCCTCTTAATGATGGGTGCGGGCAGTTCAGTCTCTATTGTCGTCACCGTCCCTATAAAGCCTCCTCCCCCACAGATGACTTCAGCTTTCTGTATTTAAAATAAATGTATACATCAAAAATAAATATCTGTAACTTTAAGAAAGGATATTGAAAACTCTTTGCTTCTGTGACTACCCTTTCACTATCAGTATGCACAAATACGAGTAAAGCACTTGCTTCTGGAGCGATATAGATCGATTACCTGTTAAGATATCAGAAACTCACGTGGATGACGATCGGGAATCTTTGATGGGGCACAGTAGTTAGTATAAATGATCCGAAAATGTGTACAAAATACAAGCAGTTGTTGGATGTGAACAACATTTTGTACACGTAGGCCTATCAAGGTCGTTGATTACGGATCTGTTACCAGATTGTCTGTAAGCAAAAATTTTCGGAACTGCGCCTCATAGATTTAGGTTTTCGTCTCCAAAGCTATCGTTCTCGTATTCTCGAGATTGGTAGTCTAAAGTGTTTTGGAATTACCGCAATGAAATCAGTTAGAGAAAACATCAATAACTAGACCCTACAAAAGCCTTTAGATTCCGATGCCTTTTGAAAAAGGACCAAAGTCACATTTTTGTGGTTTTGAAATAAGTCATGCGACACATAAAAATACAGGAGTTGGTGAAATTCCAAGAAGAAGGAAAGGTAAAGCTAAAACCAAACATCAAAAAAATCAGAAACATCATATAAAACGTTCGTCAGAGTAAAGAAACACAACATGAACATTTTTATTTGAGCCATTAAATCATCAAAGATACGCCATGTTGCTTTCAAAATCAAGATTTTCCGTTGACTAGGCTTAACAGTTTGCTGGGCACCCAAAGACTGGCACATAACTTCTAAAGCATGCTGATCTTGATGAAGGGTTGACTTCTATACGTATTTCGGAAATGTTATGGAAGGACATTCGGAAAAGTGACCCTTGATCAGAAAAAAGGGCACCGGCAGCTACTTAAATACCTCCGTCTCATAATACGGCACTTTCTAGTTAATTGTATCAAGTCATATGTTTATATGCTTCACTTACCAGGTAACAGTCATCAGTCATCGTCTTAGGCCTCACTAGTTAAAAAGTAGTATTGTGGGTGACTGGGCACAGTTGTGTATCAGATAGCGAGAAAATTACCATTTAATAATAATAATAATCCGGCTTTATTTATACAAAGCATAAAAAGGCGAAGTGTCGCTAAAAAACGATTTTCAACTTAAGCCAACAAATATTTATGTAACTTTTCTAATCCCAATGAAAACAAAAAAGTTAAAAAAAAACCTGTAATGAGTCGCTTATTCATGGCCATGGTCTACTTATTGGGTAATGAAATCAGAGATAAAATGCTTCAATCTTTTTTTGAAATTCTTTATAGAGTAGTGAGTGAACTCGGTAGGCAACGCGTTGTATAGCTTGACAACAGTATATACGTACGACCTTTTAAATAGAGATGTTGAATGTCTTGGGATAACCAAGATATGCTTGTTCTTTGTGTTCAGTTGATTAACATCTGAGTATCTGATAAATTTCGTTGATAGATATGGAGGGGCTTGTGTTGTGATTACCTTATGGGTCAAGGTCAATACGTGCATTTTTTGTAGCTCTTCTATTTTTTGAACACCCAGCTCACGATATTTACGTGACACTGACTCAAATTTTCTCACTCCACAAGCAAATCTGAGACACGCATTTTGAATAGTCTGAAGTCCCTTATCTCAATCGATCTTAGTGCAGGCCCATAAAAACAGTCAGAGTAGTGAATTCTGGACCATATTAAGGTTTCGCACAACTTCAGCTTGAGACCAGTATTCATACTTTTCCTATGAGGAAATAATTGCTTCAAGACACCAAATGATGTTTGGCACAGTTGACTAACGTGTTTTTCAAACCTCAAATCAGAATCAATCTAGAGTCCTAAATTCTTGCACTCATTTTTTTTAGGCATCGGTTGATCTAAAATGCTCGAGGATAGTAATGGTTTTGCCTGACTTTTTTTGATTTTTGGTCCAAATATAACTGCGCATGATTTTAAAGGGTTAATTTTGAGATTATGGGCACAAGATACGTCAGATAAATTTATTAAATTATTATTAATCAAATGTTCGGCATTTTTCAAAACTTATATCAAAGCCAAAGTACAATTGAATGTCGTCAGCATAGTGATGAATACTGCAGTGTTCAACGTACTCGTGGAAGTCAGAAATGTAAATTGAGAACAATAATGGTCCCAGAATGGAACTCTGTGGTGCCCTAGTTTCACTGGTATCTCCTCCGAGATACTTGACTCAATCACAACCATCTGACTCCTGTCAGTGAAATAAAATAATACAAAATGAATTGCAGATTCCGAAAAACCAAAGTATATAAGCTTTTTCACAAGAATATGGTTCCAGAGTATCAAAAGCCTTTGTATACGTATAATCAAGTAACACTAAGCATGCTAAATTTCTTTGATCTACACATCTGATTAAGTCATCCGTGATGCTAGCCAGAACAGTTGTTGCGCTGTGGTTTTTCCTGAAACCCGATTGGATTTCAGGAATGATACCATTAGAGAAGACGTAGTCAGATACCTGATGTTTCATGGCTAGTTCTAATAATTTGGAAAATGCTGGTAGTATATTTATCGACCTCAGATGTGAAATATCTGTAGGGTTACTTATTTTAGCTAGGGGGAGAACATTTGCTTTTTTCCAACAGTTGGGGAAGTTTGATAATGCAATTGCATAGTTGATGATGAAAGTTATATTTTCAATTAGCAAATCGAATATGATTGTTAGCATGACTTTTGATACTCCGGAAAAATCCCATAACATCGTGGCAAGTTATTTGGGAGAATGTGAATTGTCTGGCTTACTGGCTGGTGTTATATTTTTCCAGCAGTTTCATTTGTAACTCAGACTTAACAATGGTAGGTAAACTAGAAAAATACTTATTTATGTCATTAACGTCCTGCAGATGGCCAGGTAACTCTTTCAAGTTTCTGCTGATATTGCTAAGCCTCCGAAGACAGCTTCAGGTGGCTTTAGAATCTTTTTTTGACAGAATTAATTCCATATAGGCTTCCTATTGATAGCCTTCGCAACTTCATTGCGCATTTCTTTATAGGAAACCCACTTGCCTACCGATTTATTCTGCTTGACAAGACTATAGGGGCCAAGGGCTAAGTCATTGGCTGAAGGACCTGGCTTACAGGGGACTGGCAGAAATATGTTTAAGCGGAGACAACTGCAGGTAGGCCAAGAAGCTCATAGATGGCCCAAGCAAGCACCAAACGCTCTAGCTAAAGAACGTACTGCATCAGTTTCTTATAGCTCACTGCAGATTAGACAGACATATATTCGTTATGAGAATGATATTCTATCTGTTCCAGATGCTTCCTAGCTCAACATGTGGTTTACCAAAGCTCAAGTTCTGTGGTTTGGCATGGCCGAGTTCTGCCAGGATCGACGTCAAGCTGGCGTCTATGACCGCTGATGCAGATCCTATGGCTGTTATGTATTTTTATGATTCTTTAAAGAATAAAATCAAATTAGACTTCCTGAAGATTATCAATTTTTTCACGGGAATAATTTTGAAATTAAATTTTAACAAAACATACTTGATAACTTTTTCTTCCGATAAGAGATTTTCACCCGTTGATAAATTCCAAATTCAAACATCAGACGGCTACAAATATATACAAGCAGTAAATAATATCAAATACTTAGCTATAATTATAGATGATAATTTAAACTGGAATATAAATGATGAAAACTTAGTCAAAAATTAAGATATCTTATTCCAAAAATTAAATATTTCAGCAGTTTCCTCAATATAAAATATCTATACATGATTTATCACGCACTTACGAGTATCTAGCCACATTTGTTATGGAATTCTGGCATTGGGTGCAGTCATGAATAATTATTATACAATATAACAAGATCGAAATTCCTCAGAAGTGGATGTTACAGATTATGTTTAACGAACATGAATCATGTCCAACGGAAAATCTATATAGTGAATCGCAAATGTACTCCAGAAACCTTTATTTCTACAATACAATCATATATTTAATTAAATATACAAATTTATCATAGTGAATAGATCTCAATTATCAAAAACGATTCAAAACCACATTAGCAACTACCCAGTTTAAATACAACCTTAAGTCAACAATCATTTTATTTTCTAGGCCCAAAACTTTATAATATTACTCCACCAAATTTAAAACATATACATTCTAAAAAAATGTACCAACATTGAATTAGAATAGTCGATTCTAAGTCAGCCAAGACTGTTTATCTATACATAAACTTAAAGATACCAAAAATCAATACGTCCTACGACTAAATTATCATAATCACTAAAGGCATGCAAATTAATTTTTGACCAAAACAAATGTTTTTTATTTTAAAATATTTCAAGTTTGATTTATTATATATCCTGCCCAAACACAAGCTCATACTTTTTTGGGTATTTCATGTTTATTTGGTATATTTTCATGTACTATTTATATTACATTTTGTATTTGAATAAGCATTATTATTATTCTTATTGCTATTATAATTAATTACTATTACTATTATTAACTGACTACGACCAAGCATATAGAACGTTGTTTCATGCTTGTTCGTAATCAGCAGTAAGGTATAGATAACGGAAAGCAAACAACTCCACTGAAGAACTCAGTATGTAGTGCATCAAGAAGTGACAACTCCCACTTCTAGACAAAGGCTAATAGATCTGCGGCCACTACGCCGAGAATGCAGAAGGATCTGAATGGATCTCCACGACTCTGGCCAACACTGAAGGACAGTTCCGCTCTAAAAAGCCCTCTCCAGACTGACGCGCGGATCGCGCGCGAATCTGCGAACTACCCGCGACCCATGAGTGTGGATCCTATTCGCGTATTCTTCGCGTCTTCACGGCGCGTTTGCGCGTTGTTCCTGCCTGTTGTCGGTTTTTTGTCCCGCGACAAAGGGTTCGCAAGGCGTGAACATTATTAGGCTCCTCATTCGCTGGTGACTCAGTTGCCTCATAGTGAGTGCCGGGAGTGGTTGTGTTGTTTTCGCTTCTTTTTAGTTGTTTTAGTTTTACTCGTCAAGAGCGGGATGTATACTGTGAACTGTGAAGCAGGCGCGAACATCTGCGACTGCGAACCTGTAGGAACAGTTTTCGGGATTCGCACCGCGATCCGCGCCGCAATTTCACGCGTGAGTCTGGAGAGGGTATAAGAACGGACAGACGTCGCATACCATCACTGGATGGACAACCCGTCAATCGGCTGGAATATTAAGTATCGTCATAGAACGTTCGAAATGTTTTTGTAAGCTTATCATTGGTCTCACAAAATTTATAACAGCTGATAACAGTGGAGTATCTCGGCGACCCTCAATTCCGTTCAAGGAAGTCATTAACTGCAGCGAAGTGCAAAGTACATACGCGCCTGAAAGCCTGGAAGCAAGGCGTTCATCCGCCATAACAAAACAACCTAGACTGCTGTATATCTCGAATTAAAGTTCCTCGAGTTCAAATGACAATTAATTAGACGAGGAAGCGGTTTAACGTGAGGTTTAATATAAAATGAAGCACAGTAATCCTTCTCATGCACACAGACGCGGCTGATTTCCTTATGTACGGGATGCTCTGCTAACTTGTTGCGGTGTTCTAACAAGACGTGAACATTCTAATTGGACGCCATTTTGTTTTGCGCGATGTGTCGGGCAAATGAGGCTAGTGTTACCAGTCATATTGTTGGCATGGTCGAGTGATGTCTAGGCATCCACAATTTTCAAAAAAGTCAAGTATTTTGAGCCTTCAAAGAATGTAAAGCAGATAAAAATGCTTTTGCAGTTTCAAAATAGCTAAATAATAAATATTCTGAAGATTCTTTCTGATTCACTAGCGTATTTATTTTGACATCATTCAGGCCCAAGCGTAAGACCGCGTCATCTACTTTGTAATGTTAAGGATCACTTACTCGTACTTTACACTTCTATCAATTATCGTTGAGAACTTATTACGTCCAACAGGTGCATTGTGTCACTTTCATCCCGTTCAAGCAATGTCTGAAAATGAGCAGAAATCTCTGAAACGTTGTAATACTATTTTTCTGAGATTTTATTTTTTTGTCCGCTGTTCCGTCGCCCCTGAGTCAAGTTTCAAAATCTATGACTACCCAAACGATAGATAGATCTCGCGACAATGTTCGAACTTCAGTTTACAAGTTTTGTGTTGCTGAAAGATATCAGCCTCACACAAGCCAGTGTTTCTCATTGATGTCGATTTGTCAGTCCGTGTCTGTTGTACTGAGTAAATCTACTTGGCGAAATGTTCAGAGAACCAACATAGACGAAGTAACACAAATTACAAATAACAGGTAAGGCAAAATGGGTGGTAGATTTAAGGAATATAAAATTCAGAAAAATATATGTGTAGATTTAAAAACAATTCATCATTTACAAAAGCATCCAAATATTAATAAAATATCCTCAGTGACATTAGGAATGTTACATCCAGAAAAAAATAATTTCTTCAACTTGTTTTTTTTTGGCAACATAACTATACAGACGCATCTGTTTCGTTTTCGATGCGCCACCCTGTATTTAAAGCATGCTGTGATAACAATGTCAACGTCACCTGTATCTTAGTTTTTGCGAAGAAAGCAGGTGAGTAGTACATATCTTTTTAGATATTGCCCATTAATTTCTAGGGTTAAGCATAACAAAATGCCTCGAGTTGGAAGACGTCCAAATTATCACCATGTTAGCGACTTTGTCAGGGGTAGAACTTCTCACAAACACTTTCAAGAAGAGGAATCATAGGCAACCAGGATTGAAAACAAAGGATAATTGTAAGCATAGGCGTGCAAGTGAATTTAAAAATATGCTATTGGAATATTGGAATTGTCAATTTCAGGTATATCATGCATATATAAAACAAACATAACAAGTTGAACGATTAACATAACATCACAATATGAGACAAATGTTGATGAATACAAAATAGAACATCACTCAAATGCACAGTTGAAATATTCCTCAATGCTAGAGAAAGCGTTATTCAACAAAATTGTCCTTACTTTTTCCTTGAAAAGAGAGACGTTTATTATCGTTGTTATACAATTTGGTAAGTTGTTGTACAACTTTAAGGCCACAATATTGGGCCTCTTTAAAGTTAGAGACAGTCTGTGTGGGGGTATAAGTACATCTTCTGTCTGGCACAATTCATAACATTGTATATATCTTCCATTTATGCAGAAAGAACTCAAATTTTCTTTAATATAAACAAGGCATCTGTAGATATTAAGAGATTGAACTGTCGTTATATTCAACTTGTTTCTACAATACAATTTCAATCAAACATCTATTTTAATCAATTTCATGAGAAATAGATATCTGTGATGTTATCATTAAAGAAAATATCGTCATACATAGGATGTTATGCTGGCGTACTTGAAAAAATAAAGAGCTATTAAAAGCTACTTGCAAATACCTATGAATAATAATGCAAAATAGGGCACTGCTTGAAACTTTTCTATGATGATGAAAGCTTGGACATACAAGTGTCATGTGACGCGAGGCGTCATAGATACCTAAGCTACTATTTACACTTCGCGTAAATATATTTCCAAAAATTCGAAGTCAAACAGGGGTTTACTTTAGAGTAAAGGCCAAGTTTAGGGCATTTTCCCATACTTTAAGTGATAAAAGGTATGCACATCGTGTCTATGACTTTTTGATACATGCTTCTTTTTTTAAAACTTGATTGCGTATTTGGCAGTGGGGGTGATATATTGTCTGTATCTCTTAATTCGGTCGTCGGCCATGGTTACGCTGTCTCCACGCAGAATGATACCTGAGTATGAGCACGAGCTCTGTGTGCATGTCAATCAGTGGTCTGGGTTTCAAAAAGTCATGTGGCGGTCATGCGTTTCGACAGATTTTGCAAGAAATTTAATTTTGCCAGGATGTTTAACCTGGACTACATCCTGTGGAAAATGAGCCACTTATTCAAGTCATCATAATTTTGGGAGCTCGAGGAGACTGATTTCACAATAACTAAACCTAGTTCGGACTTTAAATGTCTTCGCAGGGTGAAGACGCTTTTTACGAGTACTGAGGGGCGCCCGCCCCACGATTCAGGTCTAGCAAAGTAGTTTTTATAACAAATTACAGCAATATATACCATTTTCTTTCAAGAATGGCAAACTTGGGGGTCCAGGGCGGCACCCGTCCCCCTCTAGGTTCGCTCTTGCTTTGGAGAGGAATAATTTAGCCTGAGCACCAAAATATTGCTTGATGTAACTTAAAAAGCGCAGCTGTAGATTATCATCTGGCTCAAAAGTTTTTTCTAGAAGAGACAAATTGTGCACTATGAAGTCCAGATTCAATACCTGTTTCTTTTTTATGGCGATATCTCAACTTGAAAGTTTATGACGATGAACCGCATAATCTGGTGCAGTGAAAACAGAGAATTAGAGAAAATAGATACAAATTTACCCAGATCTATCGGTATTTAACATGGAATGTGATATTTATGAACGTCAGTGATGTTTGACGTATAAGGTTACGTTGAAATCCACTGAGACTGTAGATACAGCTGGTATCGACCACAGTAAATACTGATATTCATCATGAACAACTCATCTTAGACCAATTTAACCCGGATTATAATATAATAGTAGTCACGTACAACATATGAAAACAGTATAACTTGACATCACACACCACCGCTGCCGTTCACAACTTCCTTCTATCTAGAGCGCTGTGATCTCCTGGTGGATTA